GAGAGAGAGAGAGAGAGAGAGGCGACAGCTGTTCAAATAGCCACTGCCAAACATTCATTAATGCCGTTCAAATAGCCACGCACGCTCGCGCGCGCGCGAGAGAGAGAGAGAGAGAGAGACGCAGCCGAAAGGGCGGGACATGTATAAACGGGGACATACCTTGATCCACGATTTGGATTGCACGATCACAATCGCACGTGCAGAGCCGATCACAACGTGGCGAACTCGGACAGCACGATGATCAGTTCTGTCTGCACAAACCCCTTATCACGTGAAGACGACCACCCTCACAGCACACCCAATTCCTTCTGCATACCCAACCTCCTGCTGGTCAGCGCTTCCCACGTGCAGAACCAATCACAACCTCCCCGCACGAAGTCGCAGAGACCACCGTCACGCTTAACGGGCTGGCCCTCCTGTTGCTGATCTCCGTGGCTCCTGGCAAAGCTTCCTTCTCGTCTTCTTCACGATGGCCGCTGGTACCCGGCGATGGACTCCCTGGCTTCGTCGCTTCTCCGAACGATGGAGATGGACATCTCCGAATGACGCTCGGCACACGAACGGCACTTTCGGTGGTGACTCACTCCGAACGGCGCTTGCCACACGAACGGCACTGCTTTTTTTTTTCTTTTTTTTTTTGAAAAGCGTCGATTTATATTGCAAAAACAATCGTTGGGACGAGGCCGGGGACCTCACAATTCAACCCCCGGGAGCGAGGTCCCACTAGCGAAGGGGATCGGATAAATTTCCTGAATCTGGACGTGTTTTAAGCGGACATGCAGAAAAGCAGTTCAATCTCGACATTCTGCACCTTTCCACAAACACGTCCAGATTCAGGCATTCGATCCGATCCTCTGTGCTAGTGGGACCACGCCCCGGGGCACGGTTCCACTAGCACACGAGTCATGGCCTAGTGCGACGCCTGCGACACTCCAGAAAAACGAAGAAAAGAGAAAAAAGTCCCAAGGTGGGGACGAGCCCGACCTTTGGAATCGAAGTGCTGCAAAAGGCTGTGCCATCTTCTTGAACGGTAGAATGGACAGTGGCTGAATGTATCCCTGGCAGAACGTAGCCAGATTCACTTCTTCCATCTTTCTTTATTGCCTGAGGGTGCACCTATGACAAGTGCTACGTGACGATTGCAGTCCGAGTCTCACGTACCACAGAGAGGGAGTGGAGTCCCTTAGTGTGCCCGACGGGACTGCCTCCTGTGACGGTTCCCATGTTCAAGCGTGAAGTCCTTATATTTTGAGAAAGAAATGAAGTACTCGAGGGGCTTTCTATTGACAGGAAAAGAAAGCACGGTCAATATGAACGACTTAGAGTACTTGATTTTTTTCTAAGTCGTTCGTATTTGATTTTTTTTTTGTTTTCGACAACCACCAATCAAAAACAGACTTGGTATTTCTTTTCCCCACATCCTGTTATTCACCAAAAAAAAAAAACAAGAAAAAGTAAAGGGATAATTTGCAAAATACCCCTATAACTTGAGTTATATGCCAAAATGCCCCTAAAAGATGTGGGTAGAGCCGAATACCCCTCTGACAAAAAAAGTGTTTTGTGAAATGCCCCTGGCGTTGGTTGGACCCGCCATCTTTTCAAAATGCCCCTACCGGGTACTATCCATCYTTGCAAAATGTCCCGGTACCTGCCAACTTTTCCMAGGCCCWGATTATTTTCGTTTTACCCCTACCGGGCCAGGTCATCTTTGCGTTTTGCCCCCTGGCGTTGGAGGCCTGCAACGGWCCTTTCCAGGCCCCAGGAAGGCACTACCGGGCCAMGGTCATCTTTGTGTTTTGTCCCCTGGCAGTTGTAGGCCGAAAACGGCCCTTTCCAGGCCCTAGGAAGCCAATACCAGGCCCTAGGAAGCCAATATCAGGCCCTAGGAAGCCAATACCGGGCCAAAATCGGAATTGTGGAGAGTACGGTGCTTTCTTCACGTTTGTGCTGCCGTTGGCCCGGTATTGTGAAGCCCATGAATGGGCAGTCAGCTTCTCCCACCCAATCCACCCCCCATTCATGGGCAGGGTGTAGAAACAAGTCTGGATGAAACAGCAGCGGCCAGTGCTATGATGAACCGCACACACAGCACACACAGCACACACAGCACACACAGCACACACAGCCAGGGAAGGCTGTTGCAGACCAGATCTTGCAACAACTGAGCACCCTTTGGATAAAACCGTGTAATATCAGCGTTTGCTATCCTGTTCGATGCCGCAGTCCACACCCAAAGCAGTCCTGTCCAGTCTGTTGCGGTGGYCACTAACCATAGGCAATGCCTGTTCTTGACATACAAGGGGTGCCTTAAAGAAAGCCGGAGTACTATAGACAGTGAAGAAAAGACTCTGCAAGGCAAATGSTATGTAACGGATTTATTGTGGTGCGCATAGCTATAGAAGTAGCACTGTTACARTGTTGGCTTTCGGGCCTGTGCTTTATTGTCTTTTTTTTTCCYCTTTTTTAAGCATTTGCATGATTTGATACTGCTAGTGGTGGTGACACGAGCCCCCGTAGAGGTAAATTATTTCAGTTTGGGATCTACCGATGAGGGTGCAGGGGCTGTTGTGGTGACATTCTCTTTCTCTCTCTCTCTCTCTCTCTCTCTCTCTCTCTCTCTCTCTCTCTCTCTCTCTCTCTCTCTCTCT